ATTATTACTGTCATAGTGGTTGAGCGTGCCGTTTGCGTGGTATAACAAGAATGTAAACTTTAACCAGCCTGGTTTGGATTTGATCGGCGAGATCCAGGGAAAGGATTTCTTAAGCTACATAGATTACGCGTTGCTGTTGGTGTTTGGTGGAGTTCCGTGGCAGGTCTATTTCCAGAGGGTGTTATCGAGTAAATCAGCTTCACAAGCTCAGATACTTTCATTTGTCGCAGCCTTTGGATGTTTCATCATGGCAATACCACCGGTTATTATTGGAATGGTAGCCAGGGCTACAGGTGTGTATAATATTTGTATATTATGTGTATATATAATTCAGTAAACATTTAAATATCAGAGTAGTTGACTGTGCAGTAAAATGTAGTGTCGATAAATATTTATGCTGACCATCGATATGACTGCATAGATTTAAATCGCTAAACCATTTCTTCTCACCTGAACTAATGAAAAATATGTATGTTTAATTTTTTATAAAATATCTACTTGAAAGATTATCAAAGTGTAGTGCAAAATCCTACTTAATTAAAAACTAGGGTTGGATTAATCTTCAACTTTACACTAACTAGAACAGTTCAAATTTCATCAAGTCTTGTTGTTCAATGGTTTGAAAAGTCCGAGTACCCATATGACTAAAAACACAATTAGTTCAAAAAGATAATTTTATCTGTTCCTTCTATTTCGCACCAACGTGCCTTTTTCGTATAATATATTCGCAAAGTCGAAAAGACGATCTTTCGGTACCTAGAATTTAATTTGTACACATTGTAGCATTAGAACACCTAATCTTAGATAACGAGTGAGATATATTCCCTTATTTATTATCGTCGTACCGACATGAGATATCATATAAAAGAGAATACTATTCTTTTTACATTATTTAATCGTTTCCTTTTTCAATTCCGATTCCTTGTGAGCTAGTCGTTATATATAAAGTAGTAAGACGTAAATTACATTTTGATTCACGTAACAGATTGGAGTCAGACAAAATACGAAGGACTAGGACCGATGCCAATGACTCAGAAGGAAACTAGCATGGTGTTACCATTGGTTATGTATTACCTTACCCCAGATTGGGTAGCGTTCTTCGCATTGGGCGCGATTTCTGCAGCTATAATGTCTTCGGCCGATTCCAGGGTTCTTTCAGCCAGTTCTATGTTTGCGAGAAACATCTATCGAAGGTTATTACGACAAAGCGTGAGTTTTGCATACACTTATTTGTAGTATAAACATTTACATTTTCAAAGCATAGATTTACATATTACACAATATATTAAATCGTTTATTGCTGTGTGGAATTTCTGTGTAACAATAATATTATAATAATATAATGAATACCGTCAGAACTCTGAACTGAATACGTGGCTAGTAGGTACCAAAACAAAAATTTTTGCAGCAAATTTTGAATGTCACTTGCGTACTAATATTATGAGTATAGGTTTAAATATAAAATATGTCGATATGAATACTAGGTACCAGGTACCTATTACAATTTACGTATTATACGTTTTGAGTTCGGCTTAAACTTCGTGTGGATAGGTTACATACATACTTATATAAAATGTTAAAATACGCGATATGTATGTTTATATTAAACTAACGTTTTAGGCATCAGAAATGGAGATTGTTTGGGTCATGCGATTATCCATCGTAGTCGTCGCCTTTTCCGCTACGACTTTGGCAATTACTATCCCGTCCATTTACGGCCTGTGGTCCATGTGTTCTGACCTAGTTTACGTTATCCTATTCCCACAGTTAACTATGGTAGTTCATTTCAAACACTATTGCAATACATACGGGTCACTAGCCGCGTACATAGTCGCATTTTACATACGAATAGGTGGCGGTGAACCTCTGTTGGGCCTGCGACCAATGATACACTTCCCTGGATGGGACGGTGAAAGACAACTGTTCCCGTTCCGGACAACAGCTATGCTCTGTTCGTTATTTACGCTGGTATTCGTCTCTTGGTTTACAAAGTGAGTATACTATGTGCAAAGTTGTACTTATATTATTATTGTTATTGTATCGCACGTATAGATACTCCCAATAATATGCATGCTCAGTGTTATACCTATATAATTTATGACTAGGGCTTTAGCGAGAACAATAAAAGATCCCCATTCAAAACATATTTAAAAATTGAATAATATATTATATACATACTTTTAAGTTTTATGTATTAAAAATCATTTAGAAAAAGTTTGAAAACCCATTTTTACCACGGTAAAACCGGATATGTATATTTTCCAGTAATCAATAAAAATGTAAAATATTTAACTGTTGACAATATATTGACCAATAACACGGGTATAGGGGAAAACTCTTCAAATTTACATTTAATTACTCATCTAAATTATGAAAAAACATCCAAAATATTGAAAAATGCAAAATGTTGTATATGAATTCTCCGTACTTTAAACCGTATCGGTGTGTTACTCTGGTGATTGCATCCAATGCATCCACATCATAATCACATTCGAATTCCGCGTTCGCAGGTGGCTGTTTATCAATGGTAAGCTGGCACCGCACTACGACTGGTTCCATTGCGTGGTGAATATACCGGAGGACGCGGTGCGAGTTGGAGAGCCGCACGAGGGTGAACAGATGACCACGCTCACGTCAGGTAAGATTGGGGGAAACAAAAATCGTTTTTATTGTCTAGGATTCGCATTTTATTTACGCGCTGGTTGCTTTGCAGGTCCCATGGGGCCGCAGAACGGTGCCGCCGTGACCACCGGTTTGGTCGACAAAGACGAGAGGAACGGCAGAATCAACCCAGCACTGGACATCAACGACGACGAAGTCACTACCACTACCGCGGTTCAGAGGAAAGCCAGCGTCGTGGGAAAGGTGTACAAGCAGGGATACGAATAGACGACCACCGGGTTTTGAGTAGGTCGTATCTCGCGCGGCCCAGTTCTGATAGGATCACGAGAATTATCGTAGTAGCCCTCTATTCATAACAAATTGTAACCGAAATTCCTTAAGTCTAATACAAAAATATTACCTATTTATTCAAAACTTTGGGCCGACCTCAACAAGTTTGGGTATGAAAACATTTTTAGAAACGATATGGATATCGTAAGATTGAGCGCATTCGTACTTTTTATGTGTACCTATCATTTCGAGTATTGCACTGAGTATACGTCAAATAATTCTTAGCTTTGGACGCTAGTTGAACAACACTAAGTTGAGCACAATGTCGTTTACAAAGCTGCAATATTTAAGATAAAAAAATCTTTAATACATATCAATTATATAAGAAGTAAGAAACAAGACTGTAGTATGATATTATAACGGTCTCTAATAATACAAAATACAATACTAGGTTGAGCACAATATCGTTTACAAAGTTGCAATATTTAAGATAAAAAAAACTTTAATACATATCAAGTATAAAAGAACCAAGACTGTTGTAAGAAATTATAACGATCTCTCATAATACAAAAAATAGTATAAGCTTCATCAGCTCCAAATCCACAGAAACGTGAAATAAAACTGTTTAGTTATTTTATATTAAATAATTATATATACTTTAAATTCAATAATCATAGAATAATAATAAACAGATATTTTATAAATAGGTAATTTAGGTAAAATTTTTTACTATTAAATCAAAAAATTTATAATTGATAATTTTTTGCTTGAGTTATTACCTATTTCATAATAAATCTGTAGCTTGCTAATACTAATAATATTACATGTTATATTATATTTATGATTTCGAAAGTTAATCAGTACAACATTAGATATCAATAAACACAATATAAATATTCACATTATTATTTAAGAATGTGTTTTTACAGTCTCCAGTCACTTACAATTTACGTTTCCATCATTGTGATGAAAAAAAAGAGTATTGAAATTTTAAACAATTTACCGTGCTCAATAATAATGCATAAAAAGTAGCTGAAAAATAATATTAATGGTTTTTTAGTACTAGTATTTTAGAAACTCGAATAGGTTAATTAATTAATTGATTAAAGTTGTTAATGTGATTGTTGAGCTTTTTTAAAAACGTTTAAATTTAATCAGAGATTTTATGTGCTTTTATGTCTATTTTTAAGCATAAAACTTAAAATTCCACTATCATTGTTATTATCGGGAATTTGTTAAAGGACTGGTACAATGATACATATAATTTTATCTAACTGTTAAGATTGACAATTACATATCATTATATGTATTCAATACATGACTGACCTTTAGGAAAATAGTAAAAAAAAAATTCCATTTTAGAATTATAACATCTTTTATAATTAATAATATTTTACTTGCAGGTGATATTTTGTCGGTTTAAATGTTCATCACAACATTATATAATTAAATAATTTTACTGTTGTTTGACTTTGAAATGTTGAATTAAGCCAAATTAGATGAACCAGTTTATAGTTGAAAGTGACCGATTCCTCAAATCGAGAATTTACATTACAATTTTAAGTACCTAAACATAAATCATATCAGCACACGACAAAACATTTTGTTATACGGCAGTTTAAAAATACCTTAAGTCCCGCGATTTGTATTTTTTTTTAGTGAAAAATATACAAAATAATCATACATATTTAAATATATATTTTTATAATATAATGCTATGTATAATGTATATCCTTAAACAGACAATTTAGCGTACTATTTACAAGCAAAAAAAAAAGTTGTTATATAATATTATAATTATAATAGAATGAAATACTAAAGTAATACGTATTTACAATGAAATTGTCTAATCGATATGTAGTTATAAGTAGTATAATACAATTTATGTCATGTTAAAAGCTGATGTTCTTACTGTAATGCGTTGGTTAAAAATTGCGGAACATCACAAACTACTTAATTTCATTAAATGTTATAAATATGTAACATTTTTTTTTTTTTTATGGCTGATAAAAATTATTCCTTTAAACAGTCTAGTGACATTGGTAGACTAGATGGTGAACTCCATCTATGTACGCACACTACCATTCGTGGTACCAGTCAGCATTTACTCAGCCGTACACAGGTTGCGGCTGTGATTCTGACTGTGGAGCAGCAAATTCATCAAATCGTATTTGCGTCGGCTGTTGTGTTTGCGACCCGTAGCCCGCTGATTGGGTATGTGTACTAGACTGGCCCGGTTTCGGCGTCAAATAGCTACCAGAAGCCTGTGACGGTGACCCGTTTGGTTGTGCATTGTGCTGCGACGACTGGTAGTTTAAGTTCCGTCCGTTCGGTGACACTATCGAAGGAGCAATCGCAGACGCGCTGTAAGTTTGCGTTGGCGAAGACGTCGTAAACGTCGGCAGGGGCGATTGCGTCGGCCCGCTATATGGGAATTGTGACTGAGAATTGGCTTGCGAGGTCGGCGTTGCGAACGGTATTGATGGGGGGTTATAATTGTACCCTCCTGCCCCTGATGTTGTCTGTTGTGGTTTAAACTGCACCTGAGTAATCTGGATTTGAGTTGGGCTGTAACTGTATCCTAGCTGAGACGGCTGCGGTCTCGGTGTATTCGTTGCAGGAACACCGGTATAAATATAACTGCCCTGTGGTCGTGGTTGGGCTTGCGGCTTGGGAGGGTTATAATTGCTTGACGGAGGGGAAGTTTGAGGCTGCTGTGGTATGCCATATGAGGGTTGAGGTGGCGATGATGAGGGGGGTTTTGCATTATTTTGTACTGTGGCTGGTTGTGGTGGGTTGTATGAATAACCAACCTGCTGTGGTATATTTTGAGGTTGCGTTTGAGATGTAGTGTAGGTGAAACTAGGCTGCTTGGGTTGTTGTGGCTGTTGTGGCTGTGGTGGCTGTTGTGGCTGTTGATTTGGTCTTGGAGTTGGTTGGTTATAAGAATAACCTTGAAATTGATTATTTTGTTGCTGAACAGCGGGAGGGCTATAAGAATACCCATTTTGATTTTGTGACATCCCCAATAGTTGATTTGGTGTATTAAACGATTGCGATGGTATTCCAAAACTGATTGACTGTACTACAGTTGGTTGATTAGATTGAGGAATATTAGTATTGGATGGTTTTGGACTTCCGTAATTTTGTTGAGGAGCTATAGTACTTTGTACTGGGGCACCATATGATACTGAAGGTTGAGTAGGCTGTGGCTGGGGAAGTGGTTGTTGAGGTAATCCATAGCTTGGCTGTGGTTGAGGTAATGGTTGTTGCTGCTGTGGATGGTTACAGTTTGGTGAGAGTTGTGGTATTGGTTGTTGCTGTTGGATTGGTGGTCCATAACTTGGTTGTGGTTGTGGTAAAGGTTGTTGTGATTGTGGAGGTCCATAACTTGGCTGAGGTTGTGGCAAAGGTTGTTGTTGCTGAGGGGGACTATAACTTGGTTGTGGTAACGGTTGTTGTTGCTGAGGTGGACTATAACTTGGTCGGGATTGTGGCAATGGTTGTTGTTGTTGAGGAGGTGGTCCATAATTGGGCCGGGGCTGTGGAAATGGTTGTGGCTGTTGTTGTGGTGGGCCATAATTTGATTGCGGTTGCTGCTGTTGAGGTGGTGGTCCATAACTTGGCTGCGGCAACGGTTGGGGTTGTTGTGGTGGTGAACCATAGTTTGTCTGTGGTGGTTGCTGCAACGGAGGACTATAACTTGGCTGTGATTGTGGCAATGGCTGTTGTGGTTGTTGTGGTGGTTGTGGTGGTCCATAACTCGGCTGAGGCTGAGGCTGAGGCAATGGTTGTTGTTGTGGTGGAGGCCCATAATTTGGCTGAGGTTGTTGCTGTTGTGTTGGAGGTCCATAGCTTGACTGAGGTTGTAGCTGTGGTGTTGGAGGTCCATAGCTTGACTGAGGTTGTTGCTGTGGCGTATAGCTTGGTTGAGGTTGTGGCAATGGTTGTTGTTGTAGAGGGGGTCCATAATTTGATTGTGGTTGGGGTTGTGACACTGGTTGTTGTTGTTGAGGAGGTCCATAATTCGACTGTGGTTGGGGTTGTGACACTGGTTGTTGTTGTGGAGGAGGGCTATAACTTTGCTGAAATTGTGGTGTGTTGTAACTTTGCTGTGGTCTTTGCTGTGGTTGCTGCTGTTGTGGTGGTCCATAACTAGGCTGAGGCTGTGGTGATGGTTGTTGTTGTTGTGGAGGTCCATAACTTGGCTGTGGTTGTGGTTGCTGTTGTTGTGGTGGAGGTCCATAATTTGGCTGAGTTTGTGGTATTGGTTGTTGTGGCTGTGGTTGTGTTGGTGTTCCATAGCTCGGTTGGGGTTGTGAGGAAGGTTGCTGTTGTTGTGTTGGTGTTCCATAGCTTGGTTGTGGTTGTGTTGATGGTTGCTGTTGTTGTGGTGGTAAGTAACCTTGTTGAGGTCGCTGTTGTGACTGTTGTAGCTGTTGTGACTGTTGTGGCTGTTGTGACTGTTGTGGCTGTTGTTGTGGTTGTTGTGGAGCACTATACCCTTGTATTATCCTTTGTATTTGAGCACTATAGCTTTGCTGTGGTTGAGGTTGTGATGAGGCATACACCTGTTGTAATTGTGGTTGGTTATTATAATCTTGTTGAGATTTTTGTTGAGGTTGTCCAAAGTTCTGTAATGATTGCAACTGTGCTTGGGAAGAATCACCTTGGATATCTTGTGTGTTAAAATTGTCAAAATTAAAAGATTGTCCATTTCCAGATGTACTAGATGGTGAATACATTGATGATATGCTAACCGTTGGTTGACTTTGAAAGGGAGTTTGAAGTAATTGAGAATACGATGATGCTGAAAAAAATATAAACACATTTTTAATTAGTTATATATAATACAACATTTTTTATTTTTATAAAACCAATAATCCAAATTCTTATCAATAACTAGATTCATATGTTAAGAAATATTGGGTTTTTTTAAAAAACTTATATGCAATTGGTTTTACATATTACAATAATTCTAAAGTGATACACAAAAGACAATTGCAACACACATGAAATATTGTGATTTTAATTCAGTTTTTTTCAAATAAATTCAAATGTATGATACCTTTAAAAAGTGACTAGAACATTAGGTACTTATTTAATACAATTGTAGAATATTTAATCATGGATTTCGTAATAAGATAATAATATTATTGTTCTTAAGATGTCCATACTAATTCTAAAACCATATGCTTTTACTGTAAATATTATGTTAGTTAAAAACATTTTTTTATTTTACATTTTACGGAATTCATTTTACATTCTATAAAGACTGTTGAGGAAATGTCACATAAGTAAATTGTATTGACATAACAAATTTCTTGTCTTCAACGAGGAAAAAAGATAGTAACTAGGTAGTTATTTTGAGAATGAACTTGAAAAATAAAATAAAAATTGACGAAATAAAAGGAAAATTTGACGCAAAATTGGTTTTTGACAAAATCGATTTTAGTTTTTGGTGCAACTATAAAAAAAATTACCGTAGATATATGAAATTTCGACTGAATGTTTATATTAGAATTTTCTATACACCATACAATTTTCAAAATATTTTTACTTGTTATAAGCTGTTTACGGACATTTTCAATTTTCAATTTTTTTCGTTTTTTTTTCTTATATTAATAAGTTTTTATTTGTCGTGTCAAAAAGCGTGAAAATTTAATAGGCTCCTAATATATTTTTACATTGACAGTTGAAAAATATTAAAAATATAAAGTCACATTTTTTTTTTAAGCTTTAAAACTTTGAATTTTGACAAAATACCTAAAAATATAGAAAATGTCCAAATTAAATTGAAATTTAACATCATCCATTACAGAGGCCCACCTGAAACCTATTGTTCAGCAGAGCGACAATCATTTCCCCACCTTTTTTAATTATTCATTTTTGTTGAACGTCGAAACCATTTTAAATAATTTCGCTATTTCGAATTAGGTATAGGTTAACAATATAACAATAATTAACAATATAAATATTGGTGTTTTATATTTTAAATCATACCTGAGGATTAATTTAGAAGAGGTAAATCTTAGCAGTAATGAAGCATTGTTTTTAACATAAATACGTAAAAAGTAGTTGAACGATTTATTATTATTGGAATTAATATGATTGTTATCTATGTTTAACGGATAATGAAACACGAATGAATTATTAACTAATTCAATTACTGACAGTGTTACGGATACATTTAAGTTTAATATAATCGTTATTGTATACTGTTGGTAATAATTTAAGCTCGATTGTTTGAACATAAATAATTTAAAAATTACACCTTTACGTTAATAAGTAAGTTACGAAACTCAAAGAAAACGGAAAAAAAAGTAATACACATAAATAAATTATTATACGTTCATTTTGTGCAGATCGTCTCACGGTGTTTGCACTTTTGTTTTCCTCTGTAGAATACCGTGAAGTTACCATAATCCCCTTCTCCTCCACCCAAATACACTTGAATTATTCCACAGACAGCGGAACACAACTGGGAAATATTAACAATCACTATAGCAAGTGTAGTGTTGTTCTCACGTAGCGACATTAATTATTCAGAGCCTATGCAGAGGCGCTTATATTATACACTCGCAATATATTATAATAAATTGTATTATTACATTTTCAATTTTGTATTTGTATACAATTTATTATATATGTATGTTTGTAATATTGGTTTTTTTTTTAACACTATAGGACTGCGTGTTTTTCACTTCGAACAATATAATACGCTTCTTTATGAAATGGTGATTGAATGAAATCATACTTATAAGTTATAAGTATAATATATTATATAGGTATGTCAGTATGTGTATATACCTACATAATATTAATATATTATATATATATATTTTATTACTTGAACGCGCGCAGAGCGTTGGCACAAGAGGGAATTCACGGGGATTCACGCGAAAAAAAAAATCATATTCTTAATGAATAATATATAGACGAAAGTGCGATGAACATATTATAATGTACGCATATAACACGGAAACCATTAATCCAGCAGAAACTGGTGGTGAATATAAGCATCAGCGTAAAAGATGAAAGAAAAATATTATAAAAGACAGATATGAAAACGAGTAGTATATAATAGTAATATTTCTATAGTAGGTTTTTCGATTAGTAGGTAAGTATGGGCATTTTGGACTAGTAGGTACATGATGACGGAATAATAAATATCGTATGGACGTATATTAGCTTTCAATTTAATGTGTAAATAAAAGCAACAGATTTACACTGATGATTAGTTTTGATTTGTTGTCAAGACATTTTGTTCATACAAAATTAATTTGATTTTTCCATAATATTTTCCAGGAAAATAGTATTTATTCATATGGTATAAAATAAGCTAAACCCATCATTGGTTGTACTTATGCCGGAACATCAGTCAATACAGTTGTACCTATCAATAAAAGACTGTTGTTTGAGTCCGACAAGAAAATAATATACCTATGTTAGGAATAATAATTATATTATTTTAATATCATTACGAGTTACTACAACGTCAGTAATAGACAATGGTTGTTCGTTAATGAACAAAAATCACGTTGTCTTAAATGAATGAGAAAAAATCTAAAAAATATGAAAAATTGCATCGAAATTTGATGATCGAATTTAAGGTAACTTAAAGTCTCAAATTTTCTAAGCCGCTTAGCTATAATACTTAATAATAATATTATACCGCTTAAGACGGCGCCTGTGGATCGCTGCGCAATCATATAGACTTAGGTATACTAATATGGAATAATTTTAAGCCCACCAACGTGAAAATTAGTTTTCAAGGAATTCTAAATTCTAATAGTGTTTTTAAAATTTCCTTGCTCCTTGGATGTACCTACAATATTGATTAGACGTGATTAAATTTATCTAACAAAATAAAAATAACCTATCAAAAACCATTGCTTTTTAGTTTATTTCAAATTTATTATTTAAACTATTTATTTGTATTTATTTTTATTTATAAAATTTAGGTATTTAGTTAAAATGAGTTTACAGATTATTTGTATGTAACGAAGGTCCATTATATAAATATAATAATAATTACAAGTAGTACAACCAAATTTATGCATTTTCAATTGTATCGTCCATGATACATCATTATAGCGCATTTTTGACTTTTATATTTAGTCATATATTTATATATCATGATAAAAATGAAAACCACAGGTGGACAAATTTATCACTAATACACCTATAAATAATTTTCTTTTGTTATTTTGTACTGCATTTGTGAAAAGTAATATACTCATATTTATTTTATTGTAAATTATACATTATAATATATAATAAACCTACAGTAATTTTTAAAAAAATGTTGACGTCAGCGAGCGATAAGAGGTGATACAACTTTCAAAAAAGTTATTATGAGCTCAAAAAAAATATTTTTTTAATGTTTATAATTTTAATTATTAAAAATGTATTGCTAAGTTTGAACTGTCCTTTTTTAAGGAACTACTTAGGGCTATTTTTCTATACGAAATTAAATCTCTGTACTTATCAATACGAAAACTATGTTGTTGTCATCAAAACAATAGGTTTTGTAAATTAGGTTTTTTGACTTAAATATTTTCTACAATAATTGTAATTATTATTACATTTACGATTTACGATGTACCTATATAGGTTTTCTATAACACATTGTTGTTATGAACTTTTTGATATCTTTCGACAAAAAATATTTACTAAGATTTCGTATAAAAGTTAGTACTAGCTAATACCTATAGTAAATAAATTGAGTTATCCACATTTTATAGGTAACGACTAAACTTCGACTGTTGAAAAAATTAAAATGATTAAAATTGTAATTTCTATATAAATCTTACAATAAGCTAATAAATTATTAATTACCTAACAAAATATCAAAAATTATTTGTATTCGTTCGTCGACAACCAAAGTTCAAATTCTGATTTTGTCAGTTTAATTTTTGAACGGAGTAAATATTGTTAGTCACTTGGTAGGCTCGAAAATCAAATTATAGTTCGTTTCACCATTATAATAATAATATGAGCATTGTGAACAAATTATTTGGCTTTGCCTCTGCACGAATCGATCAGCTTCGCTGCCGATAGTTGAATTTATTTATCGCTCGATAATCTTTCCGTACCCTATAACAGTGAATATTATGTAGGTACTGGAATGATGCCACTATAATAACAATATTATATCGCCTGTTATAACCATAATAATATTATGCCGACAGTTCATCGTGTTTCGACTCTCTACTGAAAAATGTGTAGGTGCCAACGGGTATTATATATTGTTATAATTTACATTATTATAATCGGTGATAATATTTGTCTTCCGACCGCGTCGGATGTTACATAGTATGTTATAATAAGTATTATAAACAGCACCTCTCTCGGGCGACGGACCGCGACGGTGCCGATCGGCGGCGTGTGACCCGCACAGACGTCCAGACGACGCGTCTCTTATGGAGTATCGCACGCGGCGGCGGAAACGCGACGGTCAGTTTCCGGCAATTGAATTTTTCGGCGGCGGTGGCTGCGTCTTTCCGGTCCCCGATGCACATTGTTATTGTTTCGTAAGACCAATTATTATTATTATTATTATTATTATTATTATCTGGCAGGTCGGCTTCGTGTCACCGTCACCGCCGCCGCGTTATTGTCGTGTTTAGCCAGTTCACACACTAAACGAATGTAGGAAGTGACGAGGCGACCACGCCATAGCGATCCGTCCCGTGTCAAATCGTACCGTTCTCACACCGCATAATATACATTTGCACTAGGTAATACGTATTTAGAGGTATCATAGGTAGATGACGTATTTAGGTATCTGGTATAATATATTACGTAGGTACGTGGAAACGCACACGCCACCGTCGCCGCTGTCGTGACGTCTATTGTGCATGAAATATGGCTAATAAATGGGTATGCACATTATACACGTTATTGTCACGATGTCATTTGTCCGCGATGGCGAAGATTACATAGGTATTATTATTATTATTATTATAACTAGGTAGGTATTATAATTTATCAGATGTTATTACTTATTATAATATATGTATCTCCACGTCTCACGCATTGCGGCGCAGTACGTCCCCAGAATTGGAAAGTCTGTGCACGCTCGTCTTATCGGTGCAATGAAATTGGGAAATTAATGGCTTTTAAGTACGGCAGACCAATAAACGATATGTTCCAGAAAACCTGTGGACCACAGTTTCAAACATCAAAAATCCAGTAGGTTTGTAAACGTTTTTAAAATTGTTCTAAATCTCTCAATTTCATTTTGACTGTAGTAAAAAAAAAATGTAAAAAATGTGTTCATTTTCAACGCCGAAACAGGGTCGGTAAATTACTCGTTATATCCTTTTGACTTTACCACTGTTTTTAGCTTTTAAATAATTGTAAAGTTGTATGTGCTTGGGTTTCTAATCAAATAATAAAGCCACACAAAATGTAACCACGTAGGTACATTTTCTATCGCAGATATACATCTAATTTTATAAATACAAATAAATATCATCATAAGATTTTATTTTCCCAAAATCTAAACCATGATGAGGTTTTCACCAACATATAAAATCTAAATGAATCAAATAGTTGAAAACATTAACTTATTTAGTCAATACGAACTGAAGTGTTGGCGTTTTTAATTTGTATCAAGCCATGCGACAATACAAAGTTGAAATAGTTATTTTGAAATTATCGAAAAATTAATTTTTGTTTTTCGAATTAGATATCTTTTTATTTAAATTAAAATAATAACTGAGGATTAAATACACATACCTACCTATCCAAGTTTCCAAAAACCGACTAAAAGTATACATTTGTCAACCCATTGTAACTTTCCAATTCAGCAGTGACATATAATATTGTGATAGTAACACATCGTGATATGCGTGTTATATATTATTATTATGCATTCCATTAGAACGAGAAAATCAATTTTGTCATCAATCAAGCGGTATATAGACAGGTACGGAGAAAATAATTGGAGATGATTTGTATTTTTTCCATCGAATGTTTGTTATAATATTCATTGTTGATGCTAATGTGCTCTAATAATGTTAACAATTTATTTCCGCTGTAAACGTGAGCTTTCAGTTATTGTTTTATACACAATCGGATTTACTACCTATATATTGTGTCAATCCCAATTCACAACAATAATTAATTTAGCTATTAATCAACATTTTGCATAAACCTACATATTACGATAGATATAAATTATATTATGATTTTGGCTACATGTTTTTAGCGTATGAAGGTATAGTACCACTGCATCAGTCACGTTGAATATAAATACAACATCATAATAATATTATCATTATATTATTTACATAATTTTCAAACGATTATCGTTGTCAATATTAAATATAAATTTTATTGATGTGAATATTAATTCAGTTTTGGTCATTACCGGCTAATCTATTAGCATAAATTGCACAATTACAATTTAATCTTAAATTTTCCTTAGTGTATACAAAAAAATAAAATCCATAGTATAATTTATATTAAAGAAAATACCTCTATAATATAAACTAAGAAATAAAATTGGAATTCGTAATTGATTATTAATAAAATGATAGTAATTTAATTTTTTTAGAACGAGTTATTTAATATAAAATTACATTTTAAGGTTTTAATAAAAAATCTGTTGAATTTTCTTTTGAGAGAGATGAGAAATTCGATTGTTGGGCAGATTTTTAAACTGTTTTAGTATATAGCACTCACCATCACGTTTGTTCGGTAAAACAGCTAAAGCCATGTTCAAGAAGACCGCACATGCCGTTGCCAAAAAATACGCCCTCATCTATAAAAAATAAAAATAAAATTCGATTTAGCAGAAATGAATATGTCCAGCTATCGAAATAAATACTCAAATAATTAGATACACTCATATCATTCAATCAGTTTTTTTTAACCTATTTTATAACATTTGGTACCAGTTTCATGAATACCTAGGTACTCAATTATAGCACCTTTCTATAGTGTAAACTTATAATTTAATATTTATCAATCGTTTATTTAAACATCATGCTAATGCGAGTAATGAGTATCTATCGTTCTACATTTTGATGCCGAGCAGACCAATTTATTAAAACAACGAGATAACTTGTTATTCATTTCATTTTCATACAATAATAATCATTAATCATACTTCATTTTAATATTTTCAATCAAAGTGCAATTTCACAAGAAAGGCTGTGATTCGATTAAATGTGAACGTGAGTTACTGAAAATAAAAGCGCTTATATCCCACCTCCTGTTGTTTGATTATATAAAACTTGGATTTAAAAAAAGAACCTAAAACGGTACTGATTCAAATTATTTATTGGACCGTATACAGAAATTATGATATAATCCACAGATTATCCATTTCCGAACGTCCTGTTGTGGTGCAGTAAGCCACGAGAATCGTACTAAAAATATTTAGTAATGCAATTATGTTGTCAAATATTTAATTTATGTATTAGTTTCGAGTTAATTTAAAATATTGTTCGGACATATAATTTTTTTTTTGGTTAAATTTCACTGATCAAACTACAGTGTTAACTATACAATAAATTAACAAAAGAATAAGTAATTACTTATGAGTAATAATGAGCTGATTGTATATTGCGATATAATATGTCTATATAGGAGGTTAGGTACTTCAAAAATAACAAAAGTCATCTGAAGTAAAAATTAAATAATTAGTTCATTTATTTTCTACTTTAATTTAATTAAAAAACGTATAACTTATAAAATAATATAATATAAAGGCACTATAAATGTAAATAAATCACTTTATATCATACATGTAAATGGAGATAGTATAAGAGCGTTGGAGTGATTTTTTATTTATTAAATACGAGTATGTTAAAAATAATTAATTATTTTGTTATGAATGCATCATAATGAATTTTCACCTTTCTCTTTTAGCCAATTTTTAAATAAACTTCTGATAAGTATGTATACATTAGGTACATCGATAAATATATTTTTTCAAATTGAAAATGTTCTTTCAACTTATATTATATTTCAGTGTAAAAGTATATAAAATATAATGATAAACTAATAAAATATTTTTAAATAACTAATTTTCCGAGGGAATTTACCTATATTTCAATACTATAGATTTTTAATTTGAAAAACATTTTTAATTTGAAATTACATTTGCTGCAAACACAAAACAATATACGAAAGCAAATTGGTGAGGATATTACAGCTACTTAAATAAGAGTAAAATATTTGTTGACTGTAAACTTATAATAATTCATATTTTAAACATTCATTGAAAAAGTCTTATAAATAATTGATAAATTATATTATATTTAAATCTTATAAAAATTACCTAGGTATCTAAGGTTGTAAAATCGATAAAAAAAAACTTCAAATCTTACAAAAATCATTAATAGAGAATCATTTTTAAGTTAGTTATGTAAGTATAAAATATACTAAAATGGCAGGTTTAATGGCTGAACTGAAAGTACATGTATACTTACTGTAATCGTCTAATCCAAATTACTATCAAGAATCCTTTAGGTTATCCTTGGTTCACATTAAGTCTATTTGAACTTCGTAGGCGCAAAAACAAAACGAAAATCAAACAATCATAAAAATACAGAATAACGGTACACGGATTGCACCTACTTTAATTTTATTGTTATCGTTACGACACTGGACAAACGGTGAGCGCGATGCAAACAAGAATGAAAATGAATGAAAAAACAACGAAAAAACCATCAAACGATCTTGGACGGCAGAGAGAATCCGGCGATTTTCGATCCCGACATGGTAACTACAAATGGATATTGGATGGGTGACGGTAGGCAATTCGTATTTTATACGAAGATTTTGCGAGGGACTAGAGGGAGAAGAAAGTGATTATGGTGGTGGTGACTGTAGCGGTGCCTGTGGTGGTGGCGACCTTGTTGGGAAAAACGCAGACTATAATATAGTTACCGAGTTACGTGATACAGTTTGTGATCATGTATATACATATATATTATATTGCTGAAGAAACATAGGTACCTGCTATAATTCATCCGGTCTGCCATCGCTATGTAATGAATTATGTTTTCCACACATTTACCTCTACTCGCAGCACCTCCTGACCTCTAAGAGTTGGCGAGGGCCGTAGGGATACTCTGAGCTATAGTCACCCAGTTACAAAATACTTAGGAAAACAACTATTTGTTTTTGATAGATATAAAGATAGAAATATAAGCACTGTGAAATGTTTAAATGTTTTACGATCGTTAGTTTTAATTTATTACAATGTGTTCTAAACATGGAATTAACAGTTCTATGGTTAACACCTTTTTTTTTTTTTATCCTACTGTGGATTATATATAATATATTCTCTAGTAGTTGTACCCATAATACCACGGATTTTATAGTATTATTAAAATCGATGCGAATACCTTCATTTACTTGCCTACTAATTGTATATGCTGTTTTTGTTCATTTCCCGTTATCAAAAATCATTTAGCACCATTTGACGAAAAAATTGATTTTTTTCCTAAGTACCTACCATCCATGACGTATATCTTAATCTAAAGTTTAGATTCTAAACTAAAGATAATTATTGCAATTTATCATAATATAATATAACGTGTGACGTGCCCCAAATATGTCTGATCCTATTATTATACTTCGAGTTTGATTATTATTATTTATTAGACAGTATATTGGACTTGACCATGTTGTTCAAAATAAATAAATAAATTATAAGAACTCGTTTACTTATAATAAGAGCTTTTTGTCACAGTATCGTTTGTTGTCAAAAAATCCAACCAAGGACCATCGATGGTTTAAAAACTCGAGTCTTGTGCGAACGTAATTTAACCAAACAAAATGGACAGTACATTGTAGGTATATATTATACGCCATAATGTAGGAAATATAACTTCAGAATATTGTATACATATATATATTACAAAAACGGACCATAAATTATGCATGGCATAATATTTGTAAATTAAAATTAGAAATAAAATTAATTAATTTATAGGTAGGCTCTTTTATAGAAGATCTATAGTTACATTTACTTATATTATTGCAAAGAGAACCGAATTTATTAGATTTTAACTAACAAATGTCGGAAAGTTCGAGGTGTAGGATAACCCCCCTGTAACCAAATTTATAGGTACTGTTCATTAAGTAGCCCCAAAATGTCATCTTTATTGTTGCACCTATTCGGTAATATAATAATCATGATGTATTGACATGTACCTATCGATAGTGTACAACTGTGTAGTGACGAAAATTCGTAATGTTTTCGAGATTTATATACTATATATCAGGTAAGAATTATTAACAGTATAACATATAATATTATAATAATATTAATGATGTCACGGAACTATTACCAATCGCTAATAATTGAATAAACGAAAAAACGTTATACATTATAATATTATTATGATTTATAATTTAAAGTGTACGTTGATATCCTAAATACTGCAGTGCATATTAACATAAGAATACCTATAAGATATTATAGTCTTTCGTCGATCGCCATCATGATTCACTGACTGCTACCAATTACCATACCTAAAATCCTAATTTTATTTGATGCTTATAATAATTAATACCTACATAATAATATTTACCTTTAACTGTAAAGAGCTGAAACAATAGTTATACATTTTTTGCTACTGTCTGTACTTTACCGTCTAAACGTGCTAGGTGGTAGGTATAAAATAATTTATTTTTAACAATATGGCTTATGTCTTTAAAAGTAAGTCAGAGAAAACATCAAAAGGATTAGAATTTGTATCGGTATAATATTAATAAATGAAATTCCGGTAAAAAGGTATCCAAATGCAAAAATATCCAGGAAAGTAATATCAACGGACAAAGTATTAAACAATACAATTCAATATTCAAACATTTTGGTAAAGTGAAAATATAGTAGCAAAACACATACGGATAACAATAAGTGTTTATAGATATTGATTTAATTTATACAGTATTACCCTTGTATTTTATCTAAAATTAATTCCATCGCAAATAACTCCAAAAATCATAATTGCTATATTTGAAATTGAATGGTAATATATTTTGTTTTTTCTCAGTATACCTACTTTCAAAAATCAAAACTAAGGAGAGACACGTGGTGGCTGGCGGGCGCCTCTTTACTTCCCATTAGTTATGCATGCGTGGTTATGATGATCTATTCCCCTCTTTGTGATATTTGTATTTATCAATCGAATAATCTATTCATTTACTTGCCAGACAAATTATGGATAATTGTCCTTATTGTGTGCACCTATACATAAATATGACTGATACATATACACTAGGTACACTGAGCGTACAGCCATAGTTTGTATAGGTATTCGAAATTCTTAGCGAACAAACATTATAAAATGTAATGTTTTCTATTGAGTCATAAACGACATGATGCGGCGAATAGTGATCGCAAAAAAAAATAGTCATCTTATGAAAAACGAAATGCAACGCTATACCTATATGATAATATTATGATATATTATATATAGTGTAATATTTTTAGTCGTCCAAGTATAATATGTCTGCGCGTATATAGCTTAGGTAATGAGTTTTTATTTTGTTTATTTTGTTTTTTTTTAAAGTATTTCCGGCTGTTCTCTTTGCTTTGCCCACACGCCGATAATATAATAATAAGTGAAAATGTTTAGAGCATTCACTGCGTGTCGTACAACACACCTCCTGCGCATTTAATTTTCAATTTTGGGACGCTCACCGTTATTCTCTGCGTGCGCATTATCTCCGCAGTCCGTTCTGCACTCGTTGCTG